ATATAATCTGTGAGCTAATATTAAAGGCTAATCACTCCTTAGACGTGCAAATGAGGCTCAATTTAGTTTGTGCAAGATTTATAATTCTGAGGCATGCTTACTTGTTATGTCAAAATAAGTGAGCTTAAGATGGAATTTAAGCATTGAAGTCAATAGGCTTTGCTTTTAAATTAAATATATTTTGAGTGAAAGGGAGGGAGGAGGAAGAGAGCATGGTAGTTTCATAATTGTTGGAAGTAAATTCCATGATCAAACCCACTTTTCAACTTCAAATAGCAAATTCCATACCAGTTCAGCTGTTAAATTAAAAGATGTGCAGTTTTATTTTGTTTTGGTATATTCAGAAGTTGAACTTCCCATGCTCTGTATGAATACAAGCAATCCGCAAACAAGTTGAGGGGAAAAAAATTCTTAGCAATTATCTCTCCATCACCATTCTCAATCCTAAATTCTCAATTTTCTAGTCAGCTTTGTACAAAATTTCTATACAAATTGTACAACTATTTTAAGTTGATTTTTTTTTTTTAAAAAAAAAAACAACTTTATTCTGGGGATAAAGTTATTTCCCCAAAAATATTTTAGGCTCTGAAAGTCAATCTGCTGGGCTAAGAGAATTGATATATTATGCTGATTGCTCACCTCTACCCAAGTCTCATAAATTTCCTTCACTCTCTATAAGCAGATGGCCAGTTCAAGGAGACATGGCAATGATTTTTATTCCCTCCACTAGATTCTGCAGTAAAATAGGCCACTGTTACACCTTCTACCTGACACATACCTAACCTCTTCCACAGCAGCAAGCATTCCCTCTTAAAGTTGGCTGGTTTAATTTAACACATGCACTCCCTCGTGCTCTCTCTCTCTCTCTCTCTCTCTCTCTCTCTCTCACACACACACACACACACACAAGTTAACTAAAGTGTGCCCATAAAATCGTCTTCCTTTCCCAATGTAGAAGGTTCCTTAGAGAAAAGGTCGGGTGTCACTGAGGCTCCCTGCCACCACTGAATAGCAGCAGACCAGTGATACCAGAGTCACAAAGGCCTACTCAAGCCTCAAAGGCAGAGCAAGCCCTGGGCCACTTGCTCTCCCTTATTCCTCCTTTTCCCGCTGGGGCGGGTGTAGCAGAGAGCAGACACAATTGCTGGCTTCTTTGGTGCCTTTCTTCCCTCTTTTCCCATCCCTGCCCACTTGCCCCATTGTCTTCCTTGGACACGCCGTCAGGGCATGACTAAACCTCAGCGGGAAGCCAAGGGAAGCACAGGGTGACCTCTGCCTGCCTCCAAGCTCTGTTGCTTACACTCTTCTCTCTCTTCTCTCTCCTCCCCCCAACACCCCCGAAGGAACAAAAACCTTCCTCGGCCAGCCCCCACCCAAACGATGCCCTTCCTTCATCCTTTAGGGCGGCTCGCGACCCACCCTTAAACACCGGGCACTGTTCGCCATTTCGCAGGCCTCCGGGCACTTTTCCCGGGGAGGTGTGTGTGAAACCGGGACGCCCCGAGCGAGGAACTGAGGAGGCTGCGAGCAGAGGACCAAATGAAGGGTAGCGCGGGGAAGACGGGGGACGGCGACGATGACCTAGCGCTTTCCCCCAGAGGCTCTGTTAGGCCCGCGAGCCCGCCTTTTTCTGCGCGGCCGCGGGAGCCTCTCGGCTCTAACCTCCTCACAGCAAACAGCCGTCTGATTTTCCCCTCTCCCCGAGGTAAACCTCTAAGCTCGCGGCCTGCTTTCAGTGTCGGGAGCTACACACATACATACCCCACCACAGCCATAGGCGAGGCGAGGCGAGGCTTTTCAGGAACCCAACGTGGTGTTGGGCCACTTCACTCGCTGTAATTGGGGGCGGTGAAATGTTTTAATTTATGTAGGCCTGTGGGAGAGGGGAAGGAAAGCTTCAGAACACTGCTTTTCAGGACAAGGCTGACCGCCCACGCGGGGCAGATAGGTAGGCGCCCTCGCAACCTGTGTGACTCCGGCCCTGCGCCCTCCGCGTCTCTTTCGGTCTTCGGGTGTCATTGAGGGATTCAGGAGGCCGTTTATTTCGTTGTTTCCCGCCGCCTACCTTCCCCACCAAAGCCCTGCCGGCTTCCACCACCTTCTCCCTTGAATGCCTTCTCCACCTGCGCTCTTGGAAAGCCAGAGAACTGCCCCAGTTTTCTCTTAAGCCTGGCCGGCGCTCTCTTTTTTTAAGACAGGGCCGTGAGCACCATTGAGCAGAAGGGGGCGCCAGCCAGCGCAGAACCCGGGATCGGTTGTCCGGGTCTCTGAGGTTGCCTTTGGCTGAAGCCTTGGCTAGAAGGATGGCCAGCCGTCTTCGCCTTCCCTGACAGAAAAACGAGGGGCCATTTCTCTTTCTCCCGCCAAAGCCTGGCTCGCTTTTGTTCCTGCGATAGGCAAAGAAAGGTGACCAAACTCTGGAGACGTTAAGGATGAATTGGCTAACGAGCCCTGGCGGTTCGCAGAATGCCGAAGGGAAGGTTGTAGCACCATTTTTGAGTAACCCCTTTCATTCAAATGCCTACCCTTTTGGTTTGGCCTCTTCATTTTTATTTATTTGCCACCATACGTAGATAAACGGGGTCTGGTCCTACAGTAAAGGGACCCAGGCCAGCCTAAAAGGAGACAAGGCGATCTGCTTGTAAACTGGTTGGGCCACATTCGTAACAAAGAAAAAGAGGGAAATTTCTGTCTCCCTCGTGGTGGGAGGGGGCGGGAGAGAAAGAGAGCGACGGAAAGGGCGTCTTTTGGGGAAACGAGATGAAGCCTTGCGGGCTATCTCCGAGGAACGCGCCATAGCCTTCGCAACACAAGACTGCGAAATGGGCAAACTACCAGGCGGCGCACGCGCAGTACGTTAAGCGCGGGGCCAAGGGATACTTGTAGCTTTTCCGCCGTGCTCGGAGTGGTGTGGCAGGCGAAGGGCAAGGAACCTTCACCAAGGTGGATTGGGGTTAAAAAAAAAATGGAAGGAAGAAATATTCAGCCACCCATGAACTTCTCTGCTTGAAGGCACCACAAAATAAAAATTAAAAAAGGACAATTCGGAGACGGCCCATTAAAGCTCACATGAGCCGCTGTAAACAAATATCGGGACGTTTTTAAAGAGTAGCAATACGCGTAAGTGTATGCGCGCTCGCATATTTACCGCGTCTAAACTTTAGGGAAGTTTATCAACACCTTGGCGATGTAGAGAATGAAAGGGGTGCGGGTGAGAAAGAATTGGAGGGGGGAAGTCAAGCTCCCGGTTTCTTTCCTTGAGCACAACAACAACTAAACTCCCACATTTTGCTTCCGCTTTAACAAAATAATGATTCATTGGGAAAATGGGACATAAATCTTCATTTTGGACGCAATTAAAGTGTTGATTTCATTCATGCCCCTAAGCGGTTCTTGTAATTTGCTCAAATAGCTTTATGTACCAAGCACTCTGAAGCTTTTAGAAACCTATTTTCTCGTTAGACTTGTTGGATTACAATTTTGATTCAACAACAGCCCTCTTCAGCTACAGTCCGTGTTTTCAGCGATATCGACCCCCACCAAACCGCAGCCACCCGCCTTCCAAGGTCTGAAAAGCCACCAGAGACCACTGCCGGCCCACCCATGTATACATGCAGGGAATGAGATCCTGACAAGCAAAATTACAACCGACTTACAAATCTTCCATTGCTCATTGAATACTTTTTTAAAAACGGGCGTTTTATCCAAGACCTTCATAAAAATTTCATGGCCGGGATCAACATCAACATGTTGCTTCTTCTGTCCCATCCTCAGGAACGGACACCAGTCACCAAAAAGAAGGAGCAGCAAATGAGGGGCACCTTGAACCGAAAAAATCGCCTAAATCAAGCCAACAGCATTCTGATGCCTTCTCAAAACAAGAGCTCTGCCAGCTTTTATTATCCGCAAAACCAAACAAACCAAACAAAAATCTCTCTAGAACTGCAGTCCAATGGCTTTCAGAAGTCTCCAACACAACAGATCATAAAGAAGGAAGTTTGGGGGGGGGGGGGTGGCGCATTGGAATCTGTTTCTTTTCAAAGGAAGCAGTAATTGCAACTAAACCACCCGCGTTGCCCATTATTGTCACCTTCCTCAAATGCACTCCAGGATGAGGGCCACTAATTGTAGTGTTAAGGAGCATTGATTAGTTAATATCACTTCTCCTTTTAAACCGAAATGATACTTTTGTTTTCCTTTAGAAAGAAAACACACCTTTTCCCAGCTAGACAAGAGTTTGAGAAACCAGGTGAAGTTGGAAGATTCAGACAAATGCCCAGCAGAGATTGCACAGGGCCTACTCTTTAAGACTATTCAGATACCCTTACTAAGGGGAAGCCAAAGAGGCAGAGATGACAGAGTAACCGCAAAATCATTCCCTCACTATCTCTTGCTGATTCTTCTGATTTTATTATTATTTTCCCCCTGCTAAATCCAATAAAGCCCAGTGCCCTTGCAGCAGGCAATCTTCGTACAAAGCAATGCTCACTGAGGTCTAAAAAAGCGTTCAGCCAAGGAAAACTGACAAGACAGGCTAATGAACCGTAGAGACAGGAAGAAAATAGCCAACGTTTGCTAGATTTCAAACCTTCTCTTGTCTTCTTTCCCCAGACCACCAATCTCGGATTTGACTCTTCCTCTTTTTTCCCCCCTCCCACCCCTTTCTAGCATCTCTTTACCCGGAAGCCCCCATGATTCACAAGTAGAGCCTTCTATTGTCATTAAAAAGGGAGTAAATAAAATAAAGACAAAAATTAAAAGCGACAAGGAGCAGGTCAAGTTTGAAGGCAATGCTTTTACAAGCTCATTCCGCCAGGTCGAATCCCAGAGCAAGACTTAATGAAGTAATAATAGCCACATTAGTCAAAAATTTTCATTTCGATGGAAATTTATCCAAAAGGGACTTAATCATATGCAAATAATAAAAGGGGGCGTAGTGACCCGGCAAACGATCTGCATACAGATTTGCACAGCAACTGCGAAGCTGGGGGTGATCATACCTGATCTGTTAGGTTTGCTGATCTCGTTATGTCTTCGCTGTCTGATTTTGATCCGCCTTCTCTATCGTCTATCACCAAATCGATTGGCATTTTCCCTTTCAAACAGCTAATGTACCGGTGGCAGAAATTGTCACACAATTCGTGTACCTGCATTATGACAAAGGTAACAACACCAAAATATAATCAAGGACATGTTAAGTGAAATTGACAAGAGCAATCAATTCCCCTCCCCCCTTGCCTGACATCAAAAGTTCTAAATAGGGGGAAACAGACTGCAATTATCCCCCCGAGATGCATTCAGAATTAAGAAGAACTTTCTTTTTCTGGCAAAATAGAGATATCCCAGAAAATTGACAGTGACAAGATGATTCACAGCCTACAACATATTCAACACCCGTGTTAAATTCATCTGGTCTCAGAGCTGTGACTATTAGTGAGATAGCCTGCATGGATGGCATTTAAGGTAAACTGTTTAATTTTACCCCGTTATAGCATCACAAGCCTTTTCCCAAGGATGTGGACGCAAAAGATCCCTTGCTCCAATTGTACAAAAAGTTGAATGCTCTAAAAGTACGTGAATCCACGACTTCATATTATGAGCTTCTGTAATGTTATTTCCACTGTGAACAGGCCCATATTAACCATTTATTACAAAGCACAAGCATGCCACTTGCTACCGTTAGGGGAAAAATGTCTAAAATATATATATATAAAAAGAGAGAGAGAGTAGAAACAATATTCTAGGAGGCCCTGAAATCTTTCTACTCCATTCCTACTTTGAAATGTGCTTGGGTTCCATAACATTATTATTAGTAGTAGAACATTCAGATTGATCTGATGACTGCCTTCTTGGGAAAAAGGAGTAGCCCCCACAAAAGAAACAAGCAACTCTGGCTTGTTTCTGCAAAATGTTGCAGGACAAACTGTGCCCTGTGTGTGACCCTGCAGATGGCTCTTTAAAAGAAGGGAAAAAAGGTGGGGGGGGGGGGGGCTGAAAAACTAACTGAAAACTAAAGTACCTGGATAGAAATAGCTACCCTATGGGAAGAAGCACAAGCCGAAAGACAAGCATCCGTCTAAATATTATCCAATGCATTTGTGCAAAGGTAGTAAAAAGAGATACAAGGCCAGGGCGTTAGTGATCCAGATTTTTAGTGGCTGGAATTGTAATTAAACTGCAATGAGAAATGGATGCCATGATTGGTTTTGACACTAATTACCAGAAGGAAAGACATTTATAGAAATTATGCTGTAGCTTCAACTTTATGAAATATTAGGTAGGGGTGAGGAAAAGAAAAAGAGAGAGAGTTACCTTCTCTAATTCCAACAGATGAAACCTTAATACTTGTATGGCTTGGATCATCTGTAAAAATACAAAACAGTGTAAGTCTCTGTCCCTGATTTTAGGGTTTCTCCAATACTTCTCTTCCTGTGTACTATCCAATTCTTGTACATGCAGACATATGCCTTGATGTGTGTGAATATTTTGATTTATTACAGCAACACTAAAACTTAAAAGCCGTCTTTCTGCAGACTGTTTAACAAAAAGAAAGCTCTGATTTTTTACTTTTGACCGTTGTTGCAATGAATTGGCCAAATTACACGGATCATAAATATTTCTTTAGCAAATGGTAATGTAGATAGTAATATTGCTGCTCCAGTAGAGCCAAGCAAATTTGGGAAGAAGGCTGAAGAGAATAAGTTTCCATTGCAAAGGACTAATTTAATTTTTTCAGAGTCAATTTGACTCAAGATCTTTACCCCAAACTGACATTATTCCAAGAGTACCCAGCGGGTCTCTAATGCAAAGATACCTCAAGATTTGCATAATCGCAGTTAAGGTAAAATGAGGCAAATGTCTTGGGTACTCCACCCAACTTCGCTTTTGGATTGTGTTCCTAAAATGTGGTTACTTGGACCTCAAAAACTTCCCAGTTCGGGTTCCCCCCTCTATAGTACCCACCACCCCCATTCTGGGGGGGGGGGTTAAGTGGGGGACTTGCCTCTTAAGAAAACAGGGGAAAACACATATGTCGGGGAAGCGTATCTGAACTCTTACCAAGTTATCCAGTTCGGGGTTAGAAGAAAATAAGGGTTTTTCTGCTCGTATCTAGACACAGGGTGGAAAAGTCCGGGGCGAAGAGATTAAAAGAAAAAGAAAGAAAAAGCAGTTTGAGAGACCGAGGTAACTCGGTGGCATTGCGTCTTTACCCTTGCTACATTACATCGCGCCCCCTCCCCATACAACCATCCCCACAAAACCCACCCCCAAAACTGCTAGGCTTAGCCGAAAGACTCAAGCAAAGGTGCCCAGCGCGGTTGCCAAGCCTGCCCGACAGCTGTCTGCTGTGCTTCCGTCCCCATGCACCCAGAAGCTGGCAGTCTTCTTGGGAAAGTGACCAGGAGAGCGGAGGGGGCAATCGAAGCCCTAGGGCGACCCTTCGAGTCAATATGTGGGCCGGAGGGCTGCCCTCGCTTCCGGAGAGGAGGGGGGGGAGACCCGGAGCTAGAGGGAATCGAGGGGCTGCGAGGAATGAAGGCAAGGCGACAAGGGCTGGGAGGCGGCGGGCGAACCGTCCTCACCCTTCCCCCGGGAGGGTCGCCAGGCCCGGGGGGAAGCGCACCATGGATCAGGGGGGGGGCCTTAGGATCGAGTTGCTGACCTGTTTCGCGAACACGGCTATATCTTCGTTGAAAGATTCAGAAGAGCAAACGTCGCCTCCCGCTACCCCGGGCTCCCGGGGCGTGCACGTCGCTAGTTCACATTTCTCAAAAATCAGTGCTAAGAGTGGGAAGAGGGGATGTCTGAAATGGGGGGGAAAAAAAGGGTAAGAGTCACCAAAGCAGAGACCCCCACCCCCACCCCGTGAGCCGCGCGGGCTCCAGGAAGCCGGGCTTCGGGCAAAGCCTGGGCTCCGTCGGGGAGAAACCCACCCAGCCACCCAGCCATCCCCGCAAGTGAACTCTCCAGCCCCGCGCACTCCAGCGCGCCTAGCCCGGCACAGCCCGGTCTCCTCCCCTGCAGAACCAGAAACCTGGATCCGAGCCCTGGTACCCAGTCTGGGTTGCCCATCTGAAAGCTGGTCAGAGGACCTGAGCGGCGTTAGCTAAGACTATTAACCAAATGGATTTAGCAGCCATTTTGAATACACTTCCCGCCCCCCCCTTCCCCACATACACTTTAGTTCGTGGGATGGGGAATGAGAAATTAGCCTTGGGATTTATTGTAATTGTTTTCAAGGGGTAGCGGGTTAAAGAAAGGTACTTGGGTAAGCTAAATTGTCAAAGTTTCCCCATGGGGTGGGGGGAGGGGGATACAGAGAAATAAAGGTTCCCTGAAAGGAATTTGAACTGTTTATATGTGGATCACCAGCTCTTCCTCTCAGTTGGATCAGGAGATTATGCCTTTCCTTCAGTAAGCTAATGCGGACTTTATTATTGGATGGAGCATGCAAAGGTGCCCTGCGGAACTAGTAACTTTTCATATTTTAAACTTTATTTGTAATAGGTTATTATTCCCTAAGTCAAAACATCATGCCCCTTTCATCTGCAAGTTTCCCATTCACCTTCCTTTCCTAACCTCTTTAGGGCTGCAGAACTGAAAGTAATTGAAAAGCAAAGGGATAACGTATGGTAGTAAAATATGCAGAATTTGTTCAGATTCCCGCAAATAGCAGTGGTGACTGCAAAAGGCAAATTCACCCGAAGTTATACTGGAGAAATAAATTAAACTGCACACTTAATTTAAAAAAAAAAAAACCCACTTCAGAGAAGCTCCAAACCTTATCTAAACTCAGTTGGGGGTGGGGTGGGGTATAGGAGCAATTCTGCAATTAGTCCTGAAAATCCCCTTTTAAATTTGAATGTAAAGGAAGCTGTCAAGTTGTTCTTTAAAAAGTCTTAGTATAGGAAGAGGAAAAGAAAATGCACCTTATTTCTGCATAAATGTAATGAATACATGAATGCATATTTCTTAATACTTCGTAAAATACCTACTTCCCGATAAATTTCTATTTTTATTTATTTTCTACCATAAAGTCTCTCTCTTTCTTTTCTTTCTTTTTCTTTTTCTTTCTCTTTCTCTCTCTCTCTCTCTCCTTTTCACAAGACTTTGCAACTTATTGCAAAAAGTTGTAGCCAAAACAACCAAAGGACAGTTTCAATCCTGCCTTCAACATATTGAAGTTGCTAAAAAAAAAATATGTGGAGAAGGGTCTTTCTTTCTGCACAATACTTCCCAGATTTTAGGGGGAGGGGAGGCCGTCTAAATTTTGCAAAGGGATGCATGCATTTTCTTTCCAAAACAATTTCTTTGATTTGGAGGGGAATTTTTGTTTGAGGTCCAACAGAGATTAGTAAGAGCAGAGCACCACAGCAAAGGAATCCAACCATGGCACATTCACCCCCCATCCTACACAGTTTTTCTAGTTTGAGATTAGTCTCTGCAGTGGGCTCCATTTGGCCCTGATCACTGGATAGGTAAGGGCGGGAAGAAAAGGAAAAAAAAAAAAAAGAACCAGGGAGGAAGCAACACATTTTCAAGAGAATAAAACTGATGCTAGCTGTACCTACCCATAAATTGCATCTTTATCTCTCTTTAAAGCGTCATTGACAGAGGAACCCATGCTGGAGGGCATGGCGTTTGTATGAGCTGTGTGTGGGTATTGATGGGAGTGAAGCGGAGGACCATGGTTGAGGTGGTGGACAGGCTGCATGGATCTGGCGGCGTGGGGGTCCCCATACATGGTGCTCGGAATCCCCACTCCATCCATCCCACCGTAATGGGGTAAATCGTCGTACTGCATAATAAACAGGAGGGAAAAGGAAAAAAAAAAGGGTCAAAAGGAAAGCCAGTCTGAAGAGTAGTTTATGCAGGGGTGGGAAGAGGAGAGGAAGCAACTTTGTGTGCCAGGGAGTTGAGTTGGGAAGAATGGCTTGTAAGTTCGGGGAGATGGCACCAAATCAGGCAACAGGAAAAGGCCTGGCTTTAAATGTGAAGGTTTTTGCTCCCCCCTTTATTTATTTTTTATTAATATATATGCCAATTAATTTTCCAGTAAGGCCATCACAGGTATGTCCTTTCTGAGGTCCTGGCATAACAATCTTATGGACAGGAAAAAGTTAACAGATGGGTGGTAGACTGGCTGCTTTGGAGTCCAATTCATCATAAATGCATGCTGAAAAGCTGCCTCTGTTCAGTAGGCTTCCCCAGAAGAAGTTAAAATGAGGACACCTATTATTAACACGTGCATTAAGATAGTCCTTTATTTTTAAGAGATTTCCCTGTGGGCATCAGTTGTGCATGCAAGCAGCCCCAAGTGGAGAAGACCTTCCCTGATGTTGCAAAGACACTCTAAGGTATGGTGCACAAAAATAGAAAGCTCCATTCAGAATGACTCTCAGGGAACTTTCTTGGAGATTCTTTCCTTTCTAGACTTTTTGGGGGAAAGGAATAAGAAAAGTGAAGTGGGGGATTTTGTTTGGGGGGATTTTTGTATAATTAATAAACAGAATAGTTGGAAAGCAGTCCTTCTGTTTTCAATTTAATTTTCCTATTGTTGAGAAGTCACATGCACAAATATCAGAGTTCAAATATATTTGGGACAGTTCTAAGGCCGTGTGTTTTCTTGAGAAAGAGGCCGTGTGTTTTCTTTAACGTGCTATATAGTACTGTCCCTATTCCAAAGTTCCATCTGCTGACTGGCTTCGGGCAACTAAACTTAAAATACTTTTCCTCCTTAGTAGCAGAAGCTGAATGTTAGAATTCCTCAGGTGAAAGGATGTGTCTATATGTTTGTGTGGTGGTAGTGGGGGGTCAGGAATATCACACGTTGCCATTTCAATTTCTTAAGGGCAAATATAAGTAAAGCTCTTGACACTACTTGAGCTATAAAACTAAATGCAAGATAAACAGTCGGGTAACTTTATGGAGGAGATACGTTTGACAAAATAGTGCCACCGAATGTATTTAAAAGTTGCATTGCCTTCTATATATTGGCTCTACTATTCTTTGAAAATAAGTCAGTTTTTTTTTTGTTTTTTTTTTGGTAGTCCAGGAAACTTCATTCTGGTGAAGTTTCATATCAAAGAATTAAATAATAAATTCTAGCTCCAGATACACATGTGTATAATTTTGTCTCTTGTCCTCATTGTGGGAACAACATCTTTACTATGGTCCGTGGACTTCTCTAAATAAATCCCCAGCATGTATGTAAACTTACAATAGTTTAAAAAGTTATTTATTATTTGTGAAGATATTATTAGCATATCTGAAAAGGCCAAAGATAAATTTAGAATCCCTAAACTGAAAGCAATATTAGAAGGACTTAAGTTCTGTTTCAAAGGCTGCGTTTAGGCAGCGTTTCTTTCCACTAAATGACCAAGTGATATGAATTAACAGGACCAAGGAATTGTGAATATGCACCTATCTTTAAGGAAAAGTCTGACCTAGGTCTCCCCAACTGAATCATGCAGTTATTAAAATATTTGAATTTCTCAAAACAGCGGTCTATTTTATAAAATATCTTAATTTACTTTCCCCCCCCCTCTCCGGTGCGTTTCAGAAAATGCAAAACTCTCCTTCGGGGCCCCACAACGTCTCTAAGATCCATTTTACTAAATATTACGTTACTTGGAAATTATGATTTAAAAATACGTACCCTTTGCGCCATCGGCCTGCTTCTCACCCTTCCTTTTCAACTTCTAATATATCCTCTTTAGGGCCAGTGTGAAAAAGAAACAAAACGCGCTCCCCCTCCCTCCCACCCACCCACCCCCAAAATAAAAGGAATAAAGGAGAATCCTTTAAAGTCGCCAGTCGCTTGAGCAGCCGATCAGGGGAGTCTTCAGCCAGATGGATCTCAGGGAAGCGGCACGAGCATTCAGCATTAAAAAAAAAAAAAAAAAAAAGCGGAGAGGGGGAGAGAAACGCGCTCTCGCTCGCTCTTCTCCTTTCTCCTTTTCTTCCTTTCTTTCCCTCCTTGCGTCTCTCGCACTTTTCCCTTCTGGTTTCCAAGACAGCGATGGGGAGAAAGGAAATATCCTTACCCCCAAATCTGTTTTTTTTTTTCCAAAAAAAAAAAAAAAAAGTGCCTCTCAAACCCAACTACTAACTCGCATGACTTTTTGCCACTCCAGCTGTCAATCAAAGGCGAGCTTGTCAAGGTGGTGAATGAATGATGAGACTCCGCCGTGTGTGCTTCCAACTGGTCAGGACACCTCAAATGTTAACATCAAAAGCATAAGAGGTCTAAAAGCTTCCTTTCTTCCTTTTTTTTCCCTCCTCCTTCTCCTCCTCTTCCTCCTCCTCCTCCTCTCCCCCTTTCTCTTTCTCCCTCGCTTGATTCAGTCCTAATTCCTAATCAGATTTTCTCTCTTCCCTCCGAGCAATTGGAGAAGCCTAGAGGAAGAAGGTTAAAAAAAAAGAAAAAGAAAAAAAAGGCTGTCTGAGTTTGCCTTAAAGGAGCCACGATCGATGCTGCCTGCTGCAAGTCCCCTGCGCGTGTGTAAAGTGTGTGTTGCACACAGGCGGAGAGGTGGATTTGGACCAGAATGCTGGAACCCGGAAGTAGTGGTGGCCATAACAGGTCGCGTCTTACACAATGCAGCGGGCTGCATCAACTCAGCTCGTAGCGCAGGGGTGGGTTGGGTGAGCCTCAAGGCAAGAAAGAGCGGCTGGGAAGAGCTGCGCGGAGAGGCTTCCCCATTAACAAAACACACACACTCACACACTCACACGCACAGAGGCTTGCTCGCTCGCTCGCTCCCTGGCTAAAAGAAGCGAACAATGAGCCGAGCCTCGGAGCGCAATTCGGAAGAGTTCCAGCCTCTCCCCCTTCCCTTCTCGGTTCTTGACTTCTTTAGCGGTGCAAAAGAGGAGAGAAAAGGGGGGCTCCGTCACCGTGGAAGAGGGGGGGGGGAGGGAGTTGTTCTTTTTAAACCCACCCGGTGAGATCTTTGGCCCGCGCGCGTGTATATGTGTGTGTGTTTGAAAGGGAAAGTGAGGGGTGGGGGAGAGAGTTGTACCAGAGATCTTGTTTTCGTCGCCGGCGCCTTCGCCGTTTTAGCGTTTCTTCCTTTCCTTCCAACGCCCACCCTAGCAGCCTTTTTTCTTTCTCTCGTACTTTGTATTCATTTCTTTTTCTTTCTTTCTTTCTTTTTTTTAACGACTTCAGAGGCATCGATCGATCGTTATTCTGGTTACGCTCATCAAACGACACCAAGGGGACTCTTCTGGACAAACACACACACGCGCGCGCGCGCGCGCGCACGCGGCAGCTGTCTAGGGGAGAAGATCACCCCTTTGTCCCTCCCCTCCCCTCGGCACCGTGTCACATCTAGGACATATCCAGCAGCGATCCACACACTGTGGTGTTTAGCAACCTCGGAGGGTAGTAGTGGCCATTTCCTTTGTCTAGCAGTAGGGCTTAAGTTCCATTTATTTCCCCGTTCCCTCAAAACGACAAGGCAGAGCGCCCCGGAATCGCAGGGACTTTTTCAGCGGCTCGCTCGCTTGCTTCCCCGCTGTTTTCTTTATACAAAAGGGAGACCAGTTAAGGGACAAAAAGCCCTATTAAGGGGATGGGTCTGGGCTGGTTGGCTTGCATTGCGCTTCCGTGGTCCACAGCCAGACGTTTACCCAAGGAGTTGTCTCGAAACTGCAACATCTCTTCTCTCTGTCCCCCCCCACCCCCCCACCCTCCCCCGAACAGAGATCTCCGTGAGACCGAGTTTTCCCCCCGCCCCCACAGACTCCGCTCGGTTCTCTTCCTAAGCTTTTAAAAACCCCACAGAAGGGGAGGGAGGGAGGGGGGAAAAGGGCTCCCCCTCCGAATGTTAGAAAATGAGCTCACCCAAACCTCAGCAGGCAGCAGTGGAGGAGCCGTAGTCCAATCAGGATCTCTCCTGCGAAAGCCAGGCGAGCATTAGTTGAGGGAGAAATCAATTATCAAATAATCGATCTGCGGGGAAAGTCCTCGCGCGACCAATCTTCTTTTCAGCCTCGTCCAAGAGTGCCTAAAGCTGGACAAGGCAGCGGGGTTGTTCATTTGTGGCCGGGCGTTAGAACTTACTCAGCGAGATAAATAACACCAATAATTAATAGTTAATGATGAGGATGGTGATGTCACCCTGTCTTCTTCCCCCAAGGAGATAAGAAGGGGGAAGAATTGTATCAAAAGTTTCTTCTCTTATTTGACTCTTTAAAAGGCTTTTGACGCGTGAAGTCTGCTTCCATCTCTTCCTTAAGGGGGGGGGGGGGGAAATCACATAGACCCATTTGTCACTTCTGGCCTTGCTTCTTCATTTTTATAAAGAGGTTTCCTATGGCGGCACCGAGTACGTAGTTCCAATAAAGCAGCTTCGGGGACTTGTGGATATCGCACTCGGGTCTACCCGAGGCCCTCTTGAGCGCCAAACCAGCAGCCTGGCAAGGAGTCTCCAACCTCCAAAGGGGTTAAGAGGCTGCCAGCCAATCTAGATATCGCGAAGTAATCCGGGCCTGATTTTCTGTTTGTTTTGGCTATTATTGGCCCAATACTTTACTCGAATTAGAATTAAGAAAAACTGTATCCTGGGATGTATAGTAAAGTTACGGGACACTTTTTCATCTGCCCCGTCAGTAGAGTCAAACAGAAATCAACCCGGGACGGTTTGGGCCAAGCTTATTTTAGACTGAAAGTGTAACCTCTAATAGAAAGAATTTGCGGCCGCAGCAACAGCAGCCTCCTTTAAGTTTAAGCTTATCTCTCCTGCTTTTGCAGCGATTTATGAATTTTTTTTGGGGGGACATAAAATGTATATTTTAAGGGTGAGGGAGGAGATCATGATTTCCCTCCCTTCCCCCATGTGATGTGTAACAGCAACAAATGATTGCCCTTGTGTTTGATGATGATGAAGATGCCTAATAAATCTGTTTTCTTTGCTCACAATAAGGTTTGGTATTTGGGGAGATTGCCTACTACTTTCTCTAGAATATAAAGTGCTCCTTGGTAAGGCAACCGGAGGGCAAATGACAACCACCGCCAAGCTGGGCTTTTTTTTTTTCGGGGGGGGGGGGAAGAAAACCAGGACCTGGCATCCAAGAGGTGGAGGGCATAACGCAAAATCCAGCAATCAACTTATCTATTGGGGGGGGGGGGTCACACCGATGTGGACATGGGCCTTAAAGTGACTCAGGAGGAATTCCTGGGTGCGCGGATTGTCTTGGGGAGTGGTGGTGGTGGTGTTAAAGGATCCCCCCTTTTAGCCGTGATAGAAGAGAAAGCGATCTGCTGCTGCTTTTACTAGCAAATATGGTTGTCTTTCCTTTACATCCCTGGGAAGGAGTTTTAAACTCCCCCCCCCCCCAAAAAAGGCCCAGTGCATATCCCTCCAGCGCTCATGTCCCGGGAAATGCAATAGTTTTCCGAACCGGCTGCAGCGAATGAAATCATCATCATCGTCGCTGCTAAAGCTCCCCAGGTAAGGTGGTGCGAATCCCTCTAATCCTGAATAACTGGACCACAGCTGTCGCTCCCCTGCTTGCTTTCGTTACCCAGAATGGAGCTGCCCCGGGTGAGTGTATTTGACTAATCCCAAACCGAGCCCTCCCTTTGCACAGCGGAGGGGGGGGGGAGAATGAGGTGCCGCTGCTCTTTTGCCTTATCCAAGTTCCCAGGCCTCTAGCCTAGCAGACGAAAGCGACCCAATTGAGGTGAAAGCACTTTTACAGTGTAATTACAGTTAGGACGACAAATTGTTTGCACAAAGCTCCTTCTGGATAAGGTGGTTGTTGTTTTTGTTTTTTTGTTTTTTTGTTTTTTTACAATTAGCAAACAGTCCCCACGGTCGACGCTTGCTGTGAGCAATTGCGCCGTAGCCGTCTCCAGTTGCAATATACCGGCCATAAAAAGACTAAACCGGGCAAGCAATTCATCATCTATGAAAGGGCGGGAAAAGAAACGGGCCAGCTCCGTAATCTCCCCCGGAGTCCATTCTGCGACCTTTTTACTTTTGCATCCCAGCGACCCAAGCTTTTCGACTAGATGGCCTTTTTAGGAAATGCAGCTAGGACTTCCCCTCCCCCCCACCCCGGCTCTCGGCCTTCCCGCTCCCCTGCTAGCTGTGACCCCATCCAACCCCAAACCTGAGGCCCAGGGGTTCACGAAATGGCTCTTTTGGACTAGGAGCCCGGAGTTGAAACCCGGTCCACAACCGCCCCCTCTTCCCTTCCACCCCCCAGCATGTGGGAAAGGGGCTGAAAAAGCCTCTCGGCCGTTTCGAGTCGGACAAGTTGATCCCAGGCGAAGCCTCCGCGAAGCCCAGCTAAGCCAGCCTGCTCCCCAGGCGCTGCTAGCGCGCTTCGGGCTTGAGGGGCAACTCCAGCCGTTCTCTGTCCCACTCTGCAGGGAGACGGGAAGGAGTCCCCGGGCCCTCCCAGGGCGAAATTCTTCGGAGTCTCTTAATGCTGCAGACACTCTGCAGGCCTCCCCGGGGGAAAGAGAAGCCCCGTTGTTGTCCCGCGGGGGCTTCAGTCCCGTGGTGGCGGCGGCGGCAGAGAAGAGGTTTTCCAAAGGAGGGGAACTGAGCTTGCTCTTCGTGGAGGGTTGCCTCGGATTCCAGCTGCTTCTGTCGGGAGGTAACAGCTTGAGGAGGGTCGTTCACGATCTACTCTGGAGGAGTCACCCTAATTTCCGAAAACTCAGTCCGACGATGGGCGCCCCTGACTCCCAACTTCCTAAATGCTGTCCTTTTCATGGGACCCTCCAGGACTTCGAAGGGGACTCCAAATAGGTTTCCCTTAAAGATGTGGGGCGGCCCGCTCTGGGATTGTACAGCCTTCCAACCCAACCCAACCCACCTCTCACAAACACACACAAACACCCGCTCCGTTTCTCCGATCCTTCGGTGTTTAGATTTTAGGGCACCAAACGTGGAAAAACAAACAGAAGAAAACAGATTTTCTTTTTAAACAGGGCATAAAGATAATGAAGGAATGCTGAGATAAGACTTGGAGTGATAGCAGGGACCTGACCTGACCCGCCCCCCCCCCCCCCCAAAAAAAAAAAAAAAAAGCAAACCCAGAAAACCCTGAATGAATGGCAGCGCGAAAAGAGAAAAACTATTTAAAGATCCATTAGAAGGCAAAACTTGAGGTGAAAAAGAAAGGAGGTTCAGCGGGGATTGGGGATGGAGGGGGAAGATTAAGTGAAGATGGTGCGAGTGGCTGTTTGCGAAGCAAAGGCGGGACTCGGAGAGTTAGAGATGGTTTGTTTACTGGATTCCGACTTGGGAAAACAAAGAGCCCTGGTCCAGTTCAGGAGTCAATCAGGGGTCAGGCTGGCCATTCGGGACTGCGAGGGGAGGCGAAATGCTCAAGCATTACTGTATTTTGTAAACACTCCCGAGTTGAAGAAGCGGGGTCTGAAAAGATATATATATATATCTATATCTATTTATTTGCAACACTTTGCAAAAGAACGTTTTCTTTCCAGGGCTTTCAAATGTCTGAATCTTTCTCTTCCCCCACCCCGGACCAGGGAGCGAATGCGGAGGGGAACGAGGGGACAGGCAGTGGTGGGGGCACGGATGGACCGCTTGTGTGTGTGTGTGTGTGAATGACCAAAGAGCAAAAGCAACAAGGCTGTTCTATTTAATGACCAGGTCTGCCATGTTTCAAAAGTTATAGACCTCCTTTTATTAATTAATGAAGGACTTCATAAAACATTCCCCCCCCCAAAAAAAAAAATTGT